ATTTTTAATTAAAAATCGCGCGATTTTTTATTAAAAATTTTCGCCTGTGCCGCTTTATATTCTAAAAATCGATACTTCCATAAATAATGAAAATTTTTAATTAAAAATCGCGCGATTTTTTATTACAAATTTTCGCCTGCGGCGCTTTATATTCTAAAAATCGATACTTCCATAAATAATGAAAATTTTTAATTAAAAATCGCGCGATTTTTTATTAAAAATTTTCGCCTGTGCCGCTTTATATTCTAAAAATCGATACTTCCATAAATAATGAAAATTTTTAATTAAAAATCGCGCGATTTTTTATTACAAATTTTCGCCTGCGGCGCTTTATATTCTAAAAATCGATACTTCCATAAATAATGAACATTTTTAATTAAAAATCGCGCGATTTTTTATTAAAAATTTTCGCCTGCGGCGCTTTATATTCTAAAACTCGATACTTCGATAAATTATGCAACTTTTTAATCAAAAATCGACCAATAAATAATTAAATTTTTTTATTAAATATCGCGCGATCATTATCTGCATTTTTTTATTGCTTCCGTTTTGTGTTTTTGAGGCATTTTTTCATATGTATGGCAGCACTGACATTTCACTTCAATTGGTGTACAAAGCAAAAGGTGAGGTTAAATTCGGTATTTTTTGCAACTTTAAATGCTAATTACTTTAAAACTATAAGCCTCCGGAGGGTGGGGTCTTCAGATTTAGAATCTGAAAAAGCTCCTCTATACTCCCTAATATTTTTTTTTTTTCAAAGCCTGGATCCGTTTTGGAAAATTTTCCCGATTACTTGGAAACAATATCCGCATGCATATACACATATATTCTTACCTGATACAAGATCCATGAGAATTTGTATGCCATCTTGGTAAAGATTTTGGGCTTCCAAAATTCGGCCCGCCTGATCACATTGAACTGCTCGCATTAATATATCCTTGGCGTTCATTCTGCCCAAGCCGTTTGCACTATTTTCACCAACCACTTTAGGTAGATTCAGATCAAACCACTTTTTATAAGCTTTTGCTAAGGCTTCCAATATATGTAAATAGTTCTGCGACACGCTCACACGATAGACTTACAATTTATAAATAAAAACCTAACAATATCAAATACATACACTAAAAATTTTTGGAAAATAAAGACGAACGCTTAAATATGTTTTAATACAAACTACAAAATTTTGGGACAATATTGAAAACAAAATTTTCTTTATTTCAATGACAATTGTTTTGTTTTTTATTATTTTTTTTTTTCAATACGAGAATATTGTCAAATGTGACGTAAACAGTAAACAAAGGCGACCAGCTGTTAAACTGAAATTAGTCAAGAACGTAAACCTACCGGTACGTAAACCCGAGTCAGCTGACACGATCTGTCTTACCATAGCGCCATGTAAATGAAAACTCAACACCGCAGAATTTTTCTGTAGTTGTAGCCCGTTGCGCAGAAATCTGCGGAATTTAGATTTTTCCGTGTCAGCTGATTTCTCCTTCTTTAGATGGTTGCCACTTCGCCAGTTTTACAGATGGTAAAAAAGATATAACTTCCTATTCAAAATATGTTTAAAATATTTGAAATTTACTATTGAATAAGGTTTTCGTTGAAAACTAAGTAGTTTATATTTAGCTAAAATCTATTATAGCACGAAAAATTTTAGTTGAAAGGGTAAGTTTATGAAAAGGCATTGATGAGTGGCAACAGTGTAGTAAGCAACACTGAGGGCTCCAGTAATCGACAAAATTCTGCGTATACATACTGCGTTTAAGTATAAGTTCTGCGTTCTCGACTAATTTCAGCTTTAAGCTTACTTATACTTAAACGCAGTCTGTATACGCAGAATTTTGTCGATTACTGGAGCCCTCAGTGTTGCTTACTACACTGTTGCCACTCTTCAATGCCTTTTCATAAACTTACCCTTTCAACCACAATTTTTCGTGCTATAATAGATTGTAACTAAATATAAACTACTTAGTTTTCAACAAAAACCTTATTTAATAGTAAATTTCAAATATTTTAAACATATTTCGAATAGGAACTTATAACTTTTTTACCATCTGCAAAACTGACGAAGTGGCAACCATCTAAAGAAGGAGAAATCAGCTGACACGGAAAAATCTAAATTCCGCAGATTTCTGCGCTACGGGCTACAACTACAGAAAAATTCTGCGGTGTTGAGTTTTCATTTACATGGCGCTTTGGTAAGACAGATCGTGTCAGCTGACTCGGGTTTACGTACCGGTAGGTTTACGTTCTTGACTAATTTCAGCTTTAGATTTGGGTTGTAATGTTGCCAGATGTGCGATGACCCCTGCTTATTTGATTGCCCTTGACAGATGTAAAAATGTTATCTTGCAGCCCAGTGCAATTTTCTTTCATTTTAAAAATAACGAGCAGTACACATACCTTACGAATGGGCTATCAGTTCCAGCTGAAATTAGGGTTTTGAGGATACCAGGGCATGTAGGCATAATGGGGAACGAGGTGGTGGACGCCGCCCAAAAAAGCCAATAGCTTGCCGTTAATAGCAGAAGCTCCATGCTTAAAAACGATTATGCAAACTTTTATAAAAAATCTCTCAAAGAGGAAGAAAATCAAAAATGGCATCTATCAGAATCGTTTCTTAACAAACACAACGAAAACATCGATCGGCCAAAATACAATTCAAACTTTTCCAGGAACGACTGCATTATATTAGCTCGCATGCGATTTGGCGTAACAAAATATTCAGTCCCACACTATTTTCAACAATCGCGACCAAGGGAATGTGCGTGGTGTTCACCGACCCGGAGATCAAAATATATTTAAAGAAAGCTCTAGACTGCACTCAAGAAAACACTAAAAATACTTAAAGATGGTCTAAGTAAACATAACTTACTCAACGAAGTTTAAAATAACTTTCCTTGAGGCAATATGGCCTAGTAGCGCAAACTCAAAAATATTTTTTTTTATAAATTTATTTATAAGATATAGAATAAATAACTGAATATTTAATAAGGTGAAAATGCAGATGTACTTTTGTTTTTGCTTATTCAACATTCAAATCCTTTGAACGGCTGATGGTTTGAGATTTACCAGATGACAGTTGCTCTCCCCAACTTTTCTGGGTTAAACCTAAAAACTGTTAAAAAGCAAAATAAGCCAGAGAATCGAGTACAGGAGCGCTCCCTGGTAAATTTTTGCAACTTCTTGCGAGTTAGGGAACTCAACTTTTACCAGCGGGTAAAATCTTGCAATTTCTGACAAAGAGACGGCCGATTTTACTCTTCCATTTTCCCCCTACTTTGCCAGGGAGCCGGGTACAGGAACGCTTTCTGGTAAAATCCTGTAAATTCTTGCAACTTCTTGCGAGTTAGGGAACGCAACTATTGTTTGAAACCATGATTCAATAATGAAAGGTTTTGTAAGAAAAACTTTCTCTCGCTCTAATTTTATCAATGACACTCCCACCCTACTCCTAAAAACAAAAACAGTGATATTTCTTTTCCAAATTTCTTTGCAAGTTTTAAGAACATTTTTAAATTGTTAGTAGTGAAATTTTTACTTTTTAAATTTGAAGAAATGTTTGTTCTGCATTCGCTGGCGCCAACAAGACAAAATGGGTGAGAATCGTTGGACTACAGAAATTCAATGTTAAGAGACGAAATTCCCTTAAATGCCGAAATGTATTTGTCGATATTCGTGGAGACCTCTTGATTCTGCCAAGTCGCTGTAAAGTAAAGCGTTCAATGAGCCAACGAAGGTATTTAGGTATTGTACTCCACGACACAATCCTGGTGTCTCCGAATGAGATTTTGACGCAATATAACATTGCCAAACCGCATCCATAGGCCCAATCGTCACACGACAGCTCGGTTTAGTCAATGGCGCGATGTAATTGCACACTTAAAAGGTGTACGCACGAGGCGAATGTTGGCTGGCGACCAACTTTATTGAAAGCGATTAGCTGAAAGTAGAATGCAAAGTTGAACAATACAAACGCCTTTTTATGGCGAATATTTTAATATTTTTTTATATTTTGATATTTTTAGTCATTCAAATTTTTTTTTCGTGCAACCCGGCGGGAGTTGAACGCAAAAGTTGCCTGAAAAATCGCCTCGTGCGAAAGCCCCATTACGCTACTTCTCATTTGACGATGTAGATCACGTTCCCTATCTCAGTCGTTCAGTAGCTGCGTGCTCTGAGTTCGTCCGGCACCAATCGCCAACTGCGGCTGTGCAAGCCAGTGTTGAATATTTTCCCCAGAACATAAAAAGTGCGACATCAAAGAATTCGAAACAATCGAGCCATAACCGCGAAAGAAACGTAAGCTCCAAATTTTTTTATTTGCCGTTTTTTTGTTTAATAAATATTGCATATTTTCCGCAAACAAATAGCTTCTTCATGTCCATCAACTGGCAAACAAATACAACAAAAAAAAAGCTGAAAGTGGACCATCCATTCTCGAGTTATGCGCCATCTGACGTACGCAAGTTTGGTATAAACATAGAAATATTTATTTTTAATAACAATAGGGGGTTATATTCGATGTAAATAAGCTTGTTTAAATTAAATAATTAAATCAAATTCGTTTTTGTTTTAAAATACCACCATTCACTATTATCCACACGTTTTTATAGAATTTAGCTCCCATTTTAGGAAGTGTGATTGAATCCTTCCCCTTTTTCTTCTGCTTCCAAAAACCATCCCTGTGGGTGGGAGTGCCAAATTTTAGAAAAAAGCTACTTACAAAACCTTTAATAATTGAATCATGGTTTGAAACCATGATACAAAAAGAAGGTAGTTTCATTTCAAGATTTTTGACAGAAAATAAGTTTTTGAAGGTTCATAAATAGTACAAAATTATGAGCTACCCTGCCACAATGATAGCAATCAAACACATCAGAGGATTTAATGTTGTGCGTGGAAAATGTCCGCTTATTTGTACTATATTTTGCTGGGGCGCGGAGAAGGCAGGGGTGAGGAACCTAAAACCGCACTCATTAGATAGAGCCAATTTCAAAATATGGTTAAACTAGCATTTTCGCAAAGAAAAATTAAACTCGTGTTAGGCCATCAGCAGTATTTTTGGCATAAATGCAGTTTGGCTCCAAATCTCAAATCAAAAAACAAAATATTGGGATCGATAGAGATGATTGAGCTGAGAATAACGGTATACTTCTTTTTTTTTTGGGGGGAAACAACAAGAATTGTCAAAGGTTGAAGTTCAAAATAACCTATTTTTTAACTCAAGATTTCTTAAAAATAAACGGATGGATTTTGAAAATTTTGAACTCGTTTAATGGGAAATTTGATTCCCTTTAATTTGGCATACGTACTTTATATATGCATATGTTGTATAGTTCTTACAAAAACTGAATTAATGTAAAATAATTATAAAATAGAAATCTTGATTTCAAAAATAGCTTATTTTGAACTTTAACCTTTGATAATTGTTGTTGTTGAAATTTCCCTAAAAAAATAAGTATACCGTTATTCAATCATCAATATCGATCCCAATATTTTCACTTGCACAACTTCGCTCCGGCTACTGCAGCAGGTTAAACTCCTACCTGAGTAGGTTGAATGAGGATGTGCCGAATGAGTGTCCGGCATGCGGAGAGACCCCACATGACTCGAAACATCGCATCGCATCGCATGCCCGGAAAACCCGACAACCCTAACGGCCTTGTCCCTGTGGTCAAACCCCACAGAAGCTGCACGCTTCCTAGGGTTGCCGTTAGTGGAACTTGACGACGACTGAGATACCAACCGTCCTGGGCGGGGTTGTTGTAGCCGCTACAACAACAACAACGTCCCAATATTTTGGATTTGGAGCCAAACTGCATTTGTCCCACGCCGACTCCGAACAGCGAATGCATTTTATGAGAAGCTTTGTTTCATATCAGAAATACCTAGTCAGAGGTTTGCCATTGCCTGCCGAGGGGCGACCGCTATTAGAAAAAACTGCTTTATATTGGTTAAAAACTGGACTTAAACCTAGGCCCTGCCGAATGGTAGTGCGCACCGATAACAACTACACCACAGCGGCCGCGGAAATACATAAATAAGTCTTCCAAAAAATACTTTCGAGCTTCCTAGTTTTTTTTTTTTGGAAATTAATGGAATATCCTAAATGAATAAATTATTTTTGATTTTATTTCAAATGTCTTATTTGGCTTCCAAAGTTGCATTGATATCAATTCAGAGCATTGAAAGAAACAATAGCAACAAAATGACAATGCAAAATAATTTACAAATCCAGCGCCGTAGGCGTTTAGCATTAAAAAAGCACCAATTTCGGGACTGCCAATAAAAAACACATTGGAAAAGGCTGCTATGATGAAAAGTTGGCTGAATATTACGGCATTAATACGTTGTTCAGTTTGCAGTCCCAAGTTTTTTTCAATCAGTCTTTTATAGAACGGAGTACGCATAAGATGTTTCAATAACTTCTCCGCGATCAAACACCAGAAATTCATTACAGTCCAAATTAGTACTTCCGTCTGGCAGCCATGCCACATAAATACAAACGTAAAGGTTATCACAGTAGATACAAATTTGGAGTAATTTGCATTCACCAGCGGATAATATATATAATCAAAGAGAAATTCATACAGGCCCTGGTCAAAACGCTTCCACATGTTTGAATAATAATGAACATGGCCAATACATTGCGGCTTGCTAGGTGGTTGCATTCCATCGTATCGGGAAAAAGCAATGCCCAATCCATATTTCACTAAATAGGTCATGAAAAAGAACTGGCCTAAAAAGTATCCAACAGCATGCCGTCCAAATGGTGACTTGACTAGCTTTGCCGTTTCAGGAACCATAGCCATGTAATGTACAAATAAGTAACGCATTCCGAGTTCCAGAACCAGCCACCAGAAGACAATTCGAACTAACTCACAAGCAAATGACTTTAGTTGGCCAGGCAATCCATGCACATTTTTTTCTTTTAATATCACAATGTAACGCTTATAATCTAAAAATGGTCCGTTTGCAAGTGTTGGAAAATATAGCGTGTATCCCAGAAAATGCGCCAAGCAGTCTAGTTTTAACAGTTGTTCCTTTTTGAAGTGTGCATCGACGCAAAAATGTGCAAAGCTACAACAGCGCAACAAGGTCCAAAATAGTATTACACTAAGAGTATAAAAAACGTCATATCCATCGGAAAAATTAGCAATATAAATCGCCAAAGCATTCAGCATTGCTACCCATAACGCTGTTGCTATCCAAACAACTTTTTTATTACCAATATATGCGACTAAATAGAAAATTATCAGCATTGCCAAAACGAATGCAGCCATCTTCAAGGGTAGTATGGTCAGCAGTGAAGGAACTGATACAAAAGCGTAGACCATGCCCATCTTGTTTGCACTTATAAAAAAACGTGAAGTGGTTGAGATCACAGCATGCAATATGTACCAATGCCAGTTAACACGTATGTAATTATTGAAAATATCCAGTTCATAGTTATAGGGATCACGCGTATGACCAGAATGTTGTTGCAATTCTTCACGTAATCCAAATAACGTCCAGAAGCCATAGATGAGATAAGCAAAGTAGACTCCAAAATACAGAAACAGTTCACGCCGGTAAAAGTGGAATCCTTTTGATTCATCCATATTTTATCATCAATGAAATGATATTTAAAATTTGCTTACAAATCACCTTGTTAATACTGCTTGTTGTTTTGTTATTTGCTAGCCGCAAATGCGGTATCTTCTGTTTGTACTTCGAAGATCTTCTCCAGCAGGTTATTTATCTTTCTACACCATTGGTTTTGCATAAAATAGGAACGTAGGAAAAACATCGATATAAATAGTAGGGTTTCGAACGACGCATCGATGTTTTTGAAACATCGATAACAGGCGCTATATGGATAGAGAAGAAAAAATTTGAAGCCAGTGTGCTTAGGCCGACTGTGGAGTCAGTGACCACAGTGCTGAAATACAGTGCAACGCCAACGCGGGAATCCAGCAGAACCTAGGAATGGAGGTAGAAAGACCAAACGGCGCTGAGGCATTTGTTTTTGGCGACGAAAATTCAGACCCCGATTAAAAATGAGAAGAATTGTCTAAGCTCAGTAGCTCTAAAAAAGCTTGCGAAATTAAGTTAATATTCGACTATATATTTTTACAAATAAAACAAACACATAAACTAAATCGAATTGTATTTGTTAATTTGGTTCCATGTTTGGTTTGCACTAATTTATCAATTATTTAGAGGTTAGAATAGTGGTCAGAAAAATCACTAATTATCGCGATATTTTCCCAATAGCTTCATCGCTAAACTCACTTGTACAACACCAACTAGATGACATGTGTGAGTGAGTGAACACACTGTAAGGCCACGGTGGAGAGAATACAGAAGGTGGCGCTGATGGCGATACCGCTAATCGGCTCCCAGTGAATTTGACAGAATCCGCAGTTTTGCTGACGTCCCAGTCGAGTTGACAGCAGTAGTGATGTGCTGAGTCAATACTTTTCAAGTATCCAATACTCTCGATACTCGGTACCGAAACATATAGATTTCGAATAAAAGTGCACATAGGCCAAAAATATGAAAAAAAAACGGTTCAGGGGAGACTCGCCTATCAAAACCCGGATGTAGGAGCCAATAGAGCTTTTAATACTGATTCAAATGAAAGATGTATATATGTCGGTTCGAGGCCATAATACAGAGAAACTCTTTCTTGTTTGAAGCATTTTGGTTCCAGCGATATCATTTTTGTAGGCAGACTCTGTAACCAGTTAGCGACATATTCTGTAATCAGTTGTATGATATGAAATATTTTTACGTCAACAAGTGCGATATCGATCCGAAACTTGTCGCTTAAATATTCATTTGAAATCGGGCCTAAATGTTATGCACTAATTTGCTTTAAAAGAACAAGCATGAAATTGACTTATTATCGGAGCATTTATATATGTAAATCATTCCAATTATAAAATTGTGATGTAGCCTTATTCAAATTGTAATACGCATTTAATTTCATCTTCCGATTCAAATGGATCGCTCGTTGTAAATTTCAATTGGAGATCATTCAATATTATCAAAATCACGCTTTGCCAACTTAATTTTTACATATTTCGTATTTTTTTCCTTAATTTAATAAAATACTTCTTCCTAGTTACGACTTAATTGCAGCTACAGCCGAAATTAAATTTTAAGTTGGTACTTAGCCAGAAAAGTCGAAACTACGATTTTTGTGCTCTCATCGAACAGCCATGATATTCGTACAAAGTCGTACAAATTAGTTGTGTTTACTGAGACCCAAAAAAGTTCAGAGCAGCTCAAGTTAGAGCAGAATCGAGCAGATGTCAAAAAAACAATAGAGCAAGTTAGAGCAACTTGGTTTACAAATCTCATGAAATACTTTTCAGGCAGAAATTCTCAAAACGGTTGCTTGTTCTAAGTTGCTTCATCCGATGCCGAAAATCGTGCTCTAAGGCCCAATTTCAAATGGCCTACTTAAGTAGAGACTGTTGATTAACTTCCACTATTCATTTTCAGATCATACATTTAACCTGCACTTAAATGGCCGATATTGGCCATTTAAATATGAGATATGCAACCCTGTGCTTGTACCAAACAACCAAGATTGATTGGTAGGTTGTTGAATCAATCCCACCAAATCCCACCAAAAAACTGTCAGCTGTTCAGCACAAAATGTAAAGAAACAAGCGAATGCAACAACAATTTCAAGGACGTGGACGTGGACGGGACAGAACTTTGTCTGCCTCCGGAGACCCGCACTACAATAGCCCAACTTCTTTCTGGCTATTGCAGCAGGCTCAACTCCTACTTGAGTAGAATCAACGAGGATGTGCTCAACCAATGCCCGGCATGTGGAGAGTCGCCACATGACTCCCGGCACCTCTTCACATGCCCTGAAAACCCCACTCAGCTAACGCCCCTGTCCCTAAGGATAGCACCTGTGGAAGTCGCACGCTTCCTGGGCCTCGCCCTAGCTGAAATTGACGACAACGTTGATGGATGAACCGCCCCGAACGGGGCTTAGCAGCCGCTACAACAACAACAACAACAATTTCAAGGAACAAGCAGCAGTGCTGCCAATTGTTTGGCTTGTTCCTTGAAATCACAGTATACCAGTAGAAAAGGTTTTTGTTTTTGTAGCTGTTTCGTGGTGAAAGTCCTTTATGGCGACCAAATTTCCCCACAAGAAATTGAGCGCATGGTTGCTTTTGCGGCCCAAAAGAATGAATATTAGAAAACATTTAAAAAAAGTCTAAGGTAATACAATTATATGCAACTAAAAGTAATCACAATAATTTGCACTTATGACATAATGTGATAATCATGTGTAAAAACTCTTTTCAACTATTATTTTTCACAAAATAATTTTGCGGATCAGTTTGCTCTGAGCGCTTGTGTTGTTTACCAAGAAAATGCAGCCCTGTTGGTTTTTATTTCGGTATCGCATCGCGGTGAGTTTCCATTTCTTGGTAATTCGGTTTGTGA